ACGTTGGCAGTGGTTGGCCAAGCTCCCTCTGCGCCTCTACAAAGCTGCATATGTGTGCATTCATAGCATCCTGTACGTGCTCGGCGGGCTCAGCCTCTGCATGACGTCAGGTGACAGCTCAGTCAGCGCCACAGTGTACACGCTCTCCCTGAAGACCAACCAATGGCGCACTGCTGAACCCATGTTGGAGCCACGATATGCCCACCAAAGTGTGTCATACCTGCACTTTATTTTTGTGTTAGGAGGCATTGGGGTTGACAAGAAGATCTCTCAGTCCGTAGAGAGATACAACAGTATGTTTAATCAGTGGGAGGCCATGGCACCAATGCCCACAGCCGTGCTGCATCCAGCTGTTGCAGCCAGTGATCAGCGGATTTATGTTTTCGGAGGGGAGGACGCCATGCAGAATCCAGTTAGACTGATTCAGGTAGAGTCACACACCTCATTTTATCAGCATTTATGTCCAATATTTGCATTGTTGCCACTCAAATAGAGACTTAGTTTTAAAAGGAATTCATTGTAAGTTTTCAAACATAGAAACCAGATGTCACACAAGCAGAGAGCAAACTACAGTATTTGATGGTGTAGTAAATACGTTTTCTCTCTGTTGATATTTGTGATGTGTCAACAGGTGTATCACATTTCTCGCAACTTGTGGTCCAGGCTGGAAACAAGGACGGTTAAAAATGTGTGTGCCCCTGCTGCTGTCATTGAAGATAAGATCTACATCATAGGAGGTGAGCTCAATGAATGGTCGCACCGTTCATTACATAACTTTACATAATCAATGTACTCATTAAATTAGAGCATTAAAGCAGTTATCTCTTGGTATTTAATGATGTTCCTTGACTGTGGCTCCCAGCCCCACGCCCATTCCTTCCTAATGACAATGTCAATCTTAAGTTATACTGTACATTTGACAAGGACTATTTTTTTCCTTGACAATTATAAACATTTGATGCTCTAGTCTAGAACGTATTTCCAGTAGGAGGACAGTGTATTGTATGCGTCGTTGTCTCAAAATAAACTAATACAACATGTCTCCAAGGGCAACTGTGTTGCTCCGTTATGTGTTTATAGTTTAGTAAAACAATGGAGCTCTACTGCACAGAGGAATACATTAAATCAGGCTTTAGATACACATAAAATACGCTACTACTGTCCATTAGTCTATGATCTTCTTTGTTTGTAAGAACAATATAAAGCTTTAACGGACTCAGTTCTTTAAAGTGTACTGAATAAAAATCACATTTTCCAGGATACACCAGGCGAATGATCGCTTACGACACAAAGGCCAACAAATTCATCAAGTGTGAGAACCTGAAGGAGCGGCGGATGCATCACAGCGCTACAGTCATCAACAACAAGCTCTACGTCACCGGTGGACGCATCCTCAACGGCCACGATGTCATCGAGGACTCAGACTGCTTCGAGTGTTACGACCCCAAGACGGACGTTTGGACCTCGAAAGGTTCTTTGCCTTACAAGCTGTTTGACCACGGCTCCCTGCCTCTAGTCTGCGTCTCCAACAGACCAAACCCACCATGACCCAACATTAACCGGCTACTGGAGCGAATGCTTTGCTGCATGTTCCTGAAATCCCCTTTGCCTTATTGGCCTCTAAAGTCACAAATGGGAAACCATTTCAACCTGACTGCATTCCTTCACGCAGCTCAGTCACAACTTAGCAGCACGTTAGGCCAGACTGACTTTCAGCTGAATCAAAGGGTGGCTCAGCTGAGAGCAGAGGAGTCACTGCTGAGGCACCTGAGAGGAACTGAGAACCCACAAGATGACGGGAGGCAGACGAAATTACGTAACAAGCAGCTGTGCAAACACATGTGCAATCCAAAAAGCAATTTTTGCACGTTGCTGCGCTTTTTGATGCTCACTCAAAGTGGTAATGCTTTAATTTCCCAGACATTTAGACACAGCATATCACTGCCCGGCAGCTGCAGTTGACTTCCCTGTTACTATTAAATACATTGGGATAAAAAGTCTCGCTGCTTGGCAACTCTACAAGCTCTGCTGCTCGTGTAAAATGATCAGAGCTAATATAATTTGCATTTCATATAAAATACATTCCTCCTTCACCCACATGCTTCTCTCTGACTGCACTTGCAGATTGAGTTGATGAATTGTAACTGAACGTGGATCAGCTCCCCCAGCTAAATAAAGACGTGTATCGTGTTTGATGAGTCCATCAGTAGCACATTTATTATTTCAACAAAACTATTTGAGCCAACTGTATTCCAGACTATAACAGTGATATTTAAAACAAATACAAATGATATATTATCTTATGAAAACACACAATTCAGTGCCTCTTTAATCACGCTTATTTGCAGTTATACACCCCCTGTTTCTATCTCACTACAACCATATGTTGAGTGTAATTTAAAAAAGAACATTTAACAATCAAAACAGTTAAAGATTAATTTCACAGATAGCATTAACCTATTGTCATCTATAAAATCTTTCCATTGGCATTGTGATAATATTGTTATTGTGAAATACTGTACTTTGGCCATTATAACAGCCCCAATGTGTAGTTTCTCTGTAGTATAATAAAAATATGTATAATAAGTCTCAGCACTCAAATGTTTGTGTATTTCATTGGTGGTTTAATGTTGGAAGAAGAAGCAGCTTCACAGGCAGCTATACTGATGTGAGGAAATGTGACAATGCTGCCTTTGAGGCGAATGCATGGTGGAGATGCAGCGACCTACTTAGGGGGAACTATGACTGGGAACGATGTGGGGGAGATGTCCAGGGTTTGGAGCAGGCTCATGTAAACTGCAGGTGCTCTCTCATAAACATGTCCGCTGATTTCAAATCAGTCTTCTATTCATCTGAGAACAAACGCTGTAATATAGCCGAGGAACATTTGCGACAATGAGACAGACCACTACTTTTACATCTGTGTCGACCCTGCAAACCTCTTGACCCTGACGGAGCGTACGTTCACTGTTGTGCTAAGACCACTGCCCCTGGTAACAGCTGCCATAGCAACGCTATTATCACCCCCATCGGATCATCTGCAGCATGCCTCCCTGTAGTGGGATTATAACAAATTGATTTACTGTAACGCTGATGCTAGCACAATTGATTTTCTTTCACAACATTACAATATCCTTATATCTTTGATATTGATTTCCCTGTTTTTAGTTTTTGTAAATTGATGTGATACTACAAAGACAATTTCCAATGTATTGCTTTAGATTTATCTGCACACAAGAACAAATAATAGAATATGTTTTGGACAGCAGTATAAATGTTGTTTGTGTTTTTTTCTTAGACTCAGTATCACTCACTTGGTGCAGATTTAATACATAATTCCTCATTTGTGTTTGGACCGGCTGAGTCCTGTTGCCTTGACACAGGGGAACATTGTTGACACAAACACAAAAAACATAGGCCTATTTGCTGGCTATCTAGGGAAACATATGTTCTCTATATATCATCACATGCAACGTCAATATATTTAACTTTAGTGTAATGTTTCAGGACTTATGATAGAAAGATAAAACAGTTAAGATTAAATCAAATAAATGCATTGCTTCATGTTACATTATGACTTTCACCCCTTGACCTTTCAGTCTACATTATACTCATACAGTAGTTAAGAGGAGCTCCACATGGAGGCTAAATATATTGTTACCCCCCTGGGAGGCTCACTGTTTACATGGTATTTGTATGCAGCCCTCTGGTGAAGCCACCGACCTTAGGGGAAGAGATGCAGGATCATATATCCCTTTTACATTTTAATCCCTGCCCATTAGTGGGGAAACATTGAAAGAAGCCCAGGAGCGGCGACCAAAAGGGAATTTCATTACACTCCACATTAGCAAGCCCAGACTGTCATTGAGTTAAATGGCCCCCTGTTAGCCCGGTCACTCTGAAGGCCTCACAATAACCATCTGTGTGTGTGTGTGTGTGTGTGTGTGTGTGTGTGTGTGTATTAATTATTATCAGTACACACAAACTCTGCAGTATGATGCACAGGGCTCCCACTCCTTCTTAAACATCAAATTCGTGAACTTTTCAAAGACTTTACAGGCAAAATTCCTTCAAATTTAAGGACCCAATACAACATAGAGACGCTTATCAAAGTTAATTACAATATGTTTATGATAACCATTATCCGAAATGCATTAAAGAAAGACAGAGGCTTAAATGTGTTAAAACTTGTATGCTTTGTTACACACAGCACAGCTAATTGAGTGCAAAATAACCAACTTTTCCATTCATGCATAAAATATACAAAACATAAATTCAAGCAGTTTCTATGACACATACCAACTTCTGTCATTTTCATGGCCTTGATATTCTCCCCTCATGTTCACAATTTCTCAAAAATGTCAAAGACTCGTGGCAACAATGGATAGGCTACATACCAGCTGGAGAAATATCTAACTTCAACATTGAACTTAAAACCTGAAGTTTAAAAACCAGATTTGAATATGTTGCCATCAGCTGGGACACATGTCAGCTGCTGGACTCAGTTAGCCAGAGCAGCATTTGATAACACGTTGTGAAAGTTTTATTGAGCTGCTGCTAAATACACAGCCTATTCACACTGTTTATGGACTGTGTGTTGGTTTGCTGCATAGAAACCAGTGTGTGAGGGTCACCCTCCAGGCAGGTTATTTTCAGGGGCTGTTACTAACCCATCAAGGGATAGCATTTCATTGCTAGCCCATTATGTGTGTGTGTGTGAGAGAGAGAGAGAGAGAGAGAGAGAGAGAGAGAGAGAGTCTCTCTCTCTCTCTCTCTCTCTCTCTCTCTCTCTCTCACACACACACACATAATGGGCTAGCAATGAAATGCTATCCCTTGATGGGTTAGTAACAGCCNAATAAGAATTAAACGCGATGCAAACAGAAATGAAGATAATAATACAAATAATAAGTAATAGCAAAACAAGCATTTTGGCTCCTATAAGTACTGTGAATGCACTGGCTTTGAATATCATGCCTAAATATTTGTAATATCTTACTTCATTTTATATTTTCATGTCCCTTTTCTGGGCTAGAATCTTCGAAGAATGGAAGGCGATACCCGGGAAGAACCTGTTAAAGACCTCGATGAGCTGCAAAATGCAGATTGGGTAAGATTTATTTTCTTCCTAAAGCATTATTATAATCACTCTGACCATGTATTTGGGATTAAGTAATTTATGTTTTGCAGTACGATTTTCATCCCATCTTTATTTTTCTCCAACAGGCACGGTTCTGGGTGCAGGTGATGCGAGATCTAAGAGATGGTGTTAAATTAAAGAAGGTTCAGGAGCGTCAGTATAACCCCCTGCCCATCGAATACCAGCTCACACCGTACGAAATGCTGATGGACGACATCCGCTCCCAACGCTACAAGCTGAGGAAAGTCATGGTAAGGAAAAGGCCACCAAAAACCATTTTTTTAATTTTTAAACATTCTTCTCTTTGTTTGTTTAACATGACTTTACAAAGGCATGTTGGTGCCGTTGTAGGTAGAAATAAATAACATGGAATGTGGACATGGAATATGAGTTTTCTTTTACAATTTATTCCCCAAAAATGTATGACTATGATTTTATTTTTATTTTTTTCTCCACAAGCTTTTACAACTTTATTCATGGTAATTCAGAGTTCTGTTCAAATGAAAATGTTATCCTCCCCTACAATGGCCACAAAACACCATTGCATCTTCCAAATCACTTTTTTGTAATACTCATGTTTCATTCTGTTTGATATAATAATAGTCACATTTCTCAATATTCTCAGGTGGAAATGGTAATTTCTCGCTACAGGTTTCAACAACATCTTCCTTACAGGTATATATACAAACATTAAATAAAAATCAAGATCTTCATAATCCATTTTTTTTCAAGGTGAATGGAAACATCCCACCAAGGTTAAAGAAGAGTGCACATGAGATCATTCTTGAGTTCATCAGGTCGCGGCCGCCTCTAAACCCTGTGAGTAGTCAACAACATGCTGCAATAAATACATTTTGATTGAATGATCACATGGAAGTTTTCTTAACAGACATAAACTTTGACAACACAATAGTTACATGACTTAACGCAATAACAAAACATGCACCCTATCTTGGGGTTGTTAGGTGGCAAATCTCACTTTGTTCACCATGGTGATGGCAGTTGAGGGCTGACTTGTGGTTGTCTTGACAGGCCTCAGCACGTAAACTGAAACCCAGCCCTTATCGCCCCCGAAGCCTCCACGAGCGACTGCTGGAGGGCATCAAATCTGAACGGAAGCTCAGGCCAGTCTCACCGGACATGATCCGCAGACACCGCCTCGGTAAGCCACTACTCAAGTCAAAGTCAACTTTATTGTCAATCTTCCAGTTTATGTGTACAGACAGAGAGATCCAAATGCCGTTTCCCACAATCCCGAATATAAAAACAAATGTATATAAAAATATGTGTGCAAATATGTATATATATATATGTGTGTGTATATATATATATATATATTTGCACACATATTTTTATATACATTTTGTTTTTATATGTATATATATATATATATATTTATATATGTATATATATACGTGTATATATATATATATATATATATATATATATATATATATATATATATATACACATATACACATATATATATATATACATACAGAATCAAAGACACATTAAGACCTAAATAAAAACACAACAATCAATATATACAAAATAACAGTCACTTCAATATTTGAGAATGTACATTTGTGCAAAATTGTACATAGAAAGAGCAAAATATTATTGCCAGATTGTCCATAGCAGCGTAACATTACTGAGGTTGTATGCACTAATGGCATATGCAATAAAGAATATACTTGTGCAACACTGGGTTCGACCCGTCAAACTAAACGGTTTAGTTTTATCTGAAATAGGTAGTAAATAACCCTAACCTGTTAACTTGCTGCTCAAGAGCCTACCCCCTCCACAATAACCATTATCTATGACTTAGCGCATTCGTCACGATTACTCTAACAGCCCTCTTCCTACATTGATCTGTTCACTTAATCAGAAGTGCCAGAGTGTTTAAACACGGATCACTTTGACGTCTGCACGGAGCCATGAGTTGTTTGCCAGACCTTCACTGCTAATGCATCAGCTGTGGTTTCTGACAAATGTGCTCTTGGACTGATAAATACTTTGGTTTGAAATCCATGATATGATTCTTGTACTGCATGTAATGCTGCTCTTTGTGGATACTGTTATATAACAGGGTGTCCGCTGGGTCTTAAAAAGTATTAAAAGTTGATAAATCAATTTAGCGAAAATTAAGGCTATTAAGTTTTAAACAGCATTTTCCAAGGTATTAAATGTTGTAGCTTGTTTTCAATAAGTACAGTGGGGCAAAAAAGTATTTAGTCAGCCACCAATTGTGCAAGTTCTCCCACTTAAAAAGATGAGAGAGGCCTGTAATTTCATCCTAGGTATACCTCAACTATGAGAGACAGAATGAGAAAAAAAAATCCAGAAAATCACATTGTCTGATTTTTAAAGAATTTATTTGCAAATTATGGTGGAAAATAAGTATTTGGTCAATAACAAAAGTTAATCTCAATACTTTGTTATATACCCTTTGTTGGCAATGACAGAGGTCAAACGTTTTCTGTAAGTCTTCACAAGGTTTTCACACACTGTTGCTGGTATTTTGGCCCATTCCTCCATGCAGATCTCCTCTAGAGCAGTGATGTTTTGGGGCTGTCGCTGGGCAACACGGACTTTCAACTCCCTCCAAAGATTTTCTATGGGGTTGAGATCTGGAGACTGGCTAGGCCACTCTAGGACCTTGAAATGCTTCTTACGAAGCCACTCCTTCGTTGCCCGGGCGGTGTGTTTGGGATCATTGTCATGCTGAAAGACCCAGCCACGTTTCATCTTCAATGCCCTTGCTGATGGAAGGAGGTTGTCACTCAAAATATCACGATACATGGCCCCATTCATTCTTTACTTTACACGGATCAGTCGTCCTGGTCCCTTTGCAGAAAAACAGCCCCAAAGCATGATGTTTCCACCCCCATTTTTCACAGTAGGTATGGTGTTCTTTGGATGCAACTCAGCATTCTTTCTCCTCCAAACACGTCTCTTTGAGTTTTTACCAAAAAGTTCTATTTTGGTTTCATCTGACCATATGACATTCTCCCAATCCTCTTCTGGATCATCTAATGCTCTTGCATTTTCATACTTGCTTTGCTCCCACAGTTGATTTCTTCACACCAAGCTGCTTACCTATTGCAGATTCAGGCTTCCCAGCCTGGTGCAGGTCTACAATTTTGTTTCTGGTGTCCTTTGACAGCTCTTTGGTCTTTTCCATAGTGGAGTTTGGAGTGTGACTGTTTGAGGTTGTGGACAGGTGTCTTTTATACTGATAACGAGTTCAAACAGGTGCCATTAATACAGTTAACAAGTGGAGGACAGAGGAGGCTCTTAAAGAAGAAGTTACAGGTCTGTGAGAGCCAGAAATCTTGTTTGTTTGTAGGTGACCAAATACTTATTTTCCACCATAATTTGCAAATAAATTCTTTAAAAATCAGACAATGTGATTTTCTGGATTGTTTTTTCTCATTTTGTCTCTCATAGTTGAGGTATACCTAGGATGAAAATTACAGGCCTCATCTTTTTAAGTGGGAGAACTTTCACAATTGGTGGCTGACTAAATATTTTTTTGCCCCACTGTATATACATGCTCCAAAGAGGTTGTATTCTAAAGTGTGCCTGAGTGTAATCATTGCGTAGGTGTGTAGTGTGATTCTGTGTAGTTTATTTATGGCATGAAATTGGAGGAGGCTTCAGTAGTCTGTCTCTTGGGAACAATGCCTAAATCAAATACTTTCTAATGGTTTCTTTTTCTAATTAACCTTGTATTGGCTTGGTCGCACAATTCATTCTCTTGTGCTTTGTTCTATCTGAATTATGATAAGGAGTTATCACAAACGGTTTAGTTGTGCTATCTTACAATCAATACTGGATATAGTAAATGTGAGGTAAAGTGTGCCACCAATGTAACCGGTTAGAACTCGAAGTGGCGATGAAGTCTTAAAATGTATGGAAAGGGTCTTAAAAAAGGTCATAAAAGGTATTGCATTTGACTTCAGGATTACTGCATATACCCTGTATAAGTGAGCAGTGCATAGGGCAGTAGATAACCATGTTGCTTTGTATTCTTCATAAATGGCCAATTGGATATCATCTCTCAAGCCATTTCAAGCCTTAATCAGCTAAAAACAGCAAGTATGTTGTCAGAATATACTTTACACTGCGTCTCTGGGGTTTACACAAGATGCCTTTTGTGAGGGGATTTGGGAGGGTAATATGGAGCAGTGGTTACATAATCCTACTTATGTGAGGCTAAACAGAGTGTAAACATAACATGGTCTTTATAATGTTCGATTTTCAGAAACTGTATGTTTTACGAACTAAAATGATTCATTGACTTCACCATCCATTTATAACTCATGGATTTCTTTCTCTCCCATTCTTTCTTATTTCAAATATGCGCGTGTCTATCAGTCATGCGACCTCTTAGCACATCTTTCAGCTTTGACTCGTCAGGTAAAGTTTCACAAAACCTGTTGTGTTCCTTTTGTTGTTCCTTGTGTTTCACTCCAGGCTATTTTAGGGTTAGGTCCTGCTTCTCCCTGATTTAAATAGACACACCCTCTTTATGATTTGTTTGTGCTCATGTGTGTACTGTTACTGTACCCGAGGAAAAAAAGGAACATGGAAACAGTGCATCTATAACTCAGACTGGGTAAAATGGTATTAGCTTGGAGGTAGAATAAAAAGGAAATAAATCCCTTTGTATCAGGCATGTTATGACCGGTAACTTTTAAAGCGTGAGCTAAATATAGCAGTCACTATTCAAAGGGGACCATCTGTAGCCTAGGTGATGAGAGATAGCCACTGAGCCAGAGCCTGTAGGGTGAGATTACCCATCATCACTCTGTCCTGCAGCCAGTCTGCCCTGCTCGTCACCCTAATCCGCTCTCACTCAGGAATATGACACATTACATAACACTGGTGTCAGCAGCCTACCTCTGGTTGAACGGAAGATGACCGTCTTAATGTCGCAATACAGTTTCACAGGATGACTGTAATCCAGATGGATGTATGGGAATAACTTTCGTACTGTGGCTGCACTCCTCGTCTTAGGCTGTGTTCAAAGTCGCACAATAACAACCGATTCACACCGAGTTTGACCTCAAGTTGTGCGTCAGTGTGTACTGTGTTCTGACTTTCAGGTATTTGTGGATTTTGAGACATGAGTTTACAGACCTACTCAAGTGCATCGCAGCTCTTCAGACTTTTAAATTGAGACTGAACCATAAATATTGAACTATTGGATAAAATAATCACAAGTCATTGCGAGTGACTTTAAGGTACAGTTAAGAGTTAAAGTGAAGGGGCTCTCATATGTGCTGTACTTTGATGCGTACATTTAGCAATAACTTATTTAATAATTGCAATTTTCCTTTACTGTAAAGTATTATATTTAGTGAAAGAGGTGATTTACAATTGTGATAAACAATGTCCACTCAGTTAGTTTAGAGTCATGTGATGCTGAAATATGTATTTCAGTGTGAACAGTTTGCTTGTAATGGGATGCTTAATCATTAATTCAGTGTACAGTACATACAGATTGAGAATGTAGTATGTTTGATTGTGATTTTGAACACAGCCACCCTCTGCTTGCCCTGGCACTTCCCTTCACTCTCCCTTTACTTTCCAGCTTTTCACAACATATTTGTGTGAACGTAACCCACACCTACACAGCATCCCTTCACACCTGCATCTGACAGAAGCCTGCTGCTGTCAAGTCCTCACTGTGGAATCAGTCTGGTGTTAGAAATGTAAATCTGAATATGTGTGTGGTCCTACTAAAGGTTAAATATTTCCTTTACAGGTGCAGGGAAAAGCATCAGCACTCCCCAGGACTTGTTCCGCAGCTCAGGTAAAGAAGCAATGTCTCATGGGTATGAAGTAAACCATCAGTAATGGGGAAAACACCTTGAAGTATTTTCATGTTGTTTTATTCAAATTAAATGATTGGGGCTTATCTTGGTCACCATGCGGCCTGTGTGAACTGACTGGTGTCATGTTTTGATAATACAAAGACAGTCATAGTTTACACAGGAGGTGTGATGGCTGCCTGTTTAGATAAGGACAAGATTCATGAGAATTTATGGTCCACTTGTAATAACATTTCAATGGTATCTTTCACCCGCAGACACTCCTGATGCTCCCAGGAAACTAGCTGGCAGCACCCAGTCTCTGGCCAGTGGCACCCTGGGAGCCAATCAGGGCGGAGCGCTGCCCCTCAGCCAGAGGAAGAGGCTGCTGAGAGCTCCAACGCTAGCTGAACTCGACAGCTCAGAATCTGATGTGAGATATCCAACTCTTATTGTCTTTGCTCATGGGTGACAATTTCAAAAATGTTTTGCTATTTCTACTTAATTGATAAGAGTTTATAGCTCACACAACAAACGCAACAAGAACACCACTCGCATTCAGTGACCACCTTAAGACATGGAAATGAAAAAGCTAATAATACTAAATATGACAAGGTTTATCTTATGTCTTTGCACAGCCTTCCTCGTCACCCCCCTTTGTATATTTCTTACTTAACAGCATTAGAAATGTTTGAGATGTCATGCTACTGTAGTATCAGTGTTTCCACAATAAGCTAGTCAAAACCTAATTGAATTTATTTTATTATGCTATATTAAAAGAAATGATAGCTATCAGTATCACAGGACTAAATAGGAGTGATGTTCTGGTTGACAGGAGGATCCCACGCGGAGCAGCTCCAGTATGTCCCCGTCTTTAGTGGAGGACCTGTCACCTGAGTCTGAAACGGGGAAGAAAGGTAAGAGCTTACCTATTGTAATGTAATGCATTCTGGTTTTTGACCACTACAAATACAGAGGCTGCCTCCATAATATTCATTATTTTCACATGATATTCTTTCTGTCCCATGACTTCAGCTCCTCCAAAGTTCCTTCCTGTTTCTGCGTCACCACAGCCAGACAAGCGTCGGTCTCCACAGAGGCGGCACTCCATCGAGAAGGAGGCCCCCACCAGCGTCTGCCCCTTCCTACCTCCATCCAGACAGACCTCTAAGTCTTTGGTAGGTAAACCTCTGGGAGCTACCTAATCTGGTAACCAAACATAACCTGGGTGAATTAATTAAGGAACCAATACATGAGTCCTTTGGGGCTGATGACAGAGCAATTATAAGTGACAGATATTATTGCATCAGCTGCAAACCACTTGTATCAGGTGATTTAAACTAAAACACAATCACGTGGGACAAGTATTACTTGGTAATACTGTACCTTGTAATAATTGAAGTAGTCGTCTATAATTGTAATCCCCTGCTCAATATGTCAAGTAAAGATTCCACTAGAAATGACCTACAATATTTTGAGACAGTGGTCAGGTGATAACATTAGTCCTGTGCAAATCGGTATCTCAGTGATTTAGGATTGGAATATAGAATATAGTACATCATTTTTTATCTCCTTAAATGTAAATGCTATCAGCATCTTTTATCAGAAAAATGTATCAGTCTGCTCATTAATGCATTATAGATAAATGAAAATAGTAGCACATGCTTAACGAGTACAAATTACAGGCAAACATTTGAATTGCAATGTTTGTAGAATACCAAATTGTATACATGGAAATCACAATTTGAATTACCTTTTTTAATATACCAATAATTCTGGATAAATACAACATATATTTGTTGAACTAACTGCCGTCCTGTGACCGGTCATTGTTTCTGAGTGACTCTGTGTCGGTCGTATGATTCAGTGAGGTTGAAGGATGTAATTGAAACCACAGGACAGACGCTGTATGAAGTAAACGCCGTTGTCACTTGTTAGTTTATTGGCAGACCTCTGGCGCCGGACCAGAAGCTGTGGTTTCCACCATCATCGAATCAGAATAAATACAGCTTAAAACCCCATGGGGCGAGTCATCACACCCGTTTATCAGTCAAGTATTTCTCGTAGATGTATGTAATCAAGACCTTTGTTGCAGTTTCCCTCCTATTGGCTGGCGCTCATATAATATCTAATTGAAATGTTTACCCTGATAAACCGTCTCATCTCTAACACAGTCATTTCCTATTTTATTTATTAATGCAGCTGAAAGCGGATCCCAGCATCAAGGTAACCTGGTCAACATTCTGACTATCCACCAACACCATCTTTAAATGTTTCTTCATAAAATTATGTTCTCAAAATGTAAACTGTAGAAAAGTGAGAGTGGGACAGATTAGAAGAGGTCGGAAAAGTCAAGCCAGTGCTAATTGCTTTAAACATGAACTTTTTCAAATAGGGCTACTTGAATGTGTCAGATTGCATTGAACTCCATGAGAAAGTGTTCCTACTTCTCACTTCATTTATTATGTCTATAAACATTTACTTGATGAGTGTATGCTCTCCATTCCTAGTTTCTAGTCTTCTTCAATACAACATCAGGTTTATTTTGTAAGTATATTTAGAGTAAAGTAGATGATAAAGCAGGGAATGCCTTTGGACTTTGCTACGTTGTGATTGACAAGTTGCTACTAAGGCAGTCTGTCAATCAGAATAGAGGTCTCTAGTCACTTGTGGCTACGTCCACTTCTTTTAAACAATCTAAGGAAGAAGCAGGAGAGAATATTTTGTGAAAGACTAGCAGGGATGTGTAAGATGAAGCTCTGCACATCAGAAGTAGACTCAGAGATGAAGGCTAACATCTCGTTGACCTTTTCTCCTTTGGCGAACGTTCATGTCAGATGATCTTTCTGTCATGGGACTTGCGGTCATGAAATTAAATTTCCTGCCACACGAGATGACACAATATGCTAATAGTACGAGCACTTGCCAGGAGAGAGTGAATACAAAAATATCCTCCACTAGATTGATCTTGTATTGCATTTTATTAGGCATACTGTATGTCATTAGCTTATCAGAATATAAGGTCATGCTTCTGTTTGAACGTCAGGTCCCTCTGTCTGCTGGTCAGGTGGGAGCCAGCAGGGGTGCTCGGGGCACGGTATGTCATAGTTACTGCATATCATCACAGGCATATCACACTGTGTGGGGAACCATCCAGAATGTTGTGTATTTCACATTTATGGGGGCTTCAGTCATGACCATTTGTGTGAATGGGAAATCTGCTGCATACTGAACATTGCTTGGGGAAGGTCTAAAAAGAAAATGGAGTTGAGAAATTATCTGTGAACATTTACAGTCTCACATCTTCTAATCCGACTCAACTAAAGGAGACGTGAGTAAATGATTGCTGAATAAGTTCCCCAAGCAATTTTCACTTCACTTTGGGTGAATACAGTTCAGACATAAGATAGACGGATATGTTCAATGTTTCATAGGCTCCCAGCTATGTCGCAAATCTCCTGGCAAACACAGCTTGTTCCATGATGGGGGACCACTTGCAAATGGGATGTGCGGAAATAATGGTTATTCAACAGTATTATAATCTAATATATGAATAGGTCTGTTGAGTAAGGTCAAAAGTAAACTCTTGGTGCAGAAAAAAGAATGAAATCAAAATGTCCTTGATTGAACTTAATTCTAAATTTAAAATGATTATCAGATTTCTGTTTGGGAGTTTAAAGAGGGAATTAAGTACATTTGAATAATTGGATAAAGAAGATTGATAGCCAAAAGCTGTGGACCACCAACATGGTGGGAGTGTTGCATCACCAGCATGCTGTGTTTTCTGTTCATTGTCACGTCAGTGGAAGTGCCATTTGTGGTTAAGAGTCTGTAAATGTTCATTTGTATATCAACTACTCACCCTGTGTTACCTTAAAAACGATGTTGTCTTCCTATGGCTCCACAATAAACGAAGAATCCAGAAATGGAGAAGAAGTCTTCATATGTCATCATAAAATAGGGGCAACATTCATCGTCAGGGAAACTATATAAAAACATTGGTTTAGAAAGTACTGACAGACGAGTAACACACCTGTGAGGGTGAAATAATGTATCATTATCGTTTTTTTTGCTGTTGCTAAACACAGCTATCCATTTACCACATTTACTGTGAAGAATGCAAGAAAAAGAGTATTCTTTAAGGATTTAAGGTACCACAGACTGAGTATATATAAATGGCCTTGTTTTGGGGTGAACAACACTTGGTGTGTAATGGGTGTCATTCTCATTGTGAGCAGGTACCATCCCTTCTTACCGCGGTCTGTTTTGGGTAATCTGTTTCCTAATGAGTGTAATGATGGGTGTGTGTTGTCCCTCCAGGAGGAGTTCTGTTACCCGGTGGAGTGTCTGGCGCTGACCGTGGAGGAGGTGATGCACATCAGGCAGGTCCTGGTCAAGGCAGAGCTGGAGAAGTTCCAGCAGTACAAGGAAATCTACACTGCCCTCAAGAAGGGAAAGGTAGATATATCACATATTGTCTGAGTTATACGTTTCGTGCTTTATTATTTAAATAGATGTATTGTTCCCCTTTAAACCTTATTGATTCTTTCTGCTCTAGGTTTGCTTTTCATGTCGGACTAAGAGGTTCTCTCTATTCACCTGGGCCTACACCTGCCAGTTCTGCAAAAGGTAGATTAGAACTACTAAACTTTCAATTGTATTCTGTTTAAACGTGTAGTGCATATTATAAAATGCTTCTATAGAAAGGGGTGCACATAACTGGTACGCATGCGCGGCAAAAATCTGAATTGCGTAACATCACTTGTGTCACTACGCGCCTTTGCGTACCTCAAAACATCAAAACAAAACACATATTTCGTCTACACGTGTTTCTTGTCAACACAATGGAGTAAAGTACGAGACATGTCAAAAAACCCAAAGACATTAAGCAGCTACGTTGCCGTTTCGCTCCGTGCAAAAAATCTTCGGACTTTCTGTGACTGACTGAATGGGTGCTGGCCGAGCCGCGCAGGACACAGCCGACGGACCTGTGAAGCTTTACAGGAGGCAGAGGCTTAGATCACCGGACAACATAGTTGGTCGCCGTGTGCACACACAGGCAGGGTTAACGTCGGTATGAACAACAAAAACTCCGCCAACTGGCTGCAGTGGGAGACTCGCCTGTGCACATTCTGTTTCCCCCGGGCACACACTGGAGAACTGCGCAAAATCAGCTGATCACAACGTTCACGCTCTGTGGTCAAGCTGCTGCAGTTTTATTTACACCAAAGTGGAGTGAAACACACAGTTGCAAACTTACTCAGGGTGTTATGGAAGAGTTTGAAATCAGACAGAGGTTGAAGAAGTACTCAGATCTTGTACTTGAGTAAAAGTAAAAAAACAGAGTGTTACTCTGTTACAGTAAAAGTCCTGCATTCAAAATGTTACTCAAGTAAAATTAGAAAAGTATTATCATCAAAATATAGTTACAGTAAAGTACCAAAAGTAGTCATTGTGCAGATTGGTCCATTTCAGAATAATATATATGATATGTTTTTTAATGATTGGTCATTAAAGTGTTCTCAAAGCTGGTAAAGGTGCAGCTAATTTTACAAATTAGATCAAAGTAAAGTACAAATATCTCAAAATTGTACTTAAGTACAGTACTTGAATAAGTGTACTTTGTTACTTCCCACCTCTGAAATCAGATATGACTTCAAGTCATGTGATCATTTCTTAGTATTTTATCCTTCCACTTGGCCTCAGGAAATGCAAGGACTTCACAGGACTTCACAGTTTTGGCAACAAGTTTTGGAGAAAGCAAATTGGAGGCTTAAAAAGAGACAGGGAGGTACATCTTCATCATCTAGCATGCAAGAAGTGTAAATAGAGGACAGTGAAGGAGACACTGAGGAGGACCAAGCTTCGTGTGGGGTGAGTACCAAACGCTGTCTCCTGGTACTCATCTGAGTAACTCACTCAAAAAGTGATGTGCACCCCTGTCTATAGAGCCTTTTGTTACTCCAGAGGGAACTGTGTAAAATCTGATAAATGTCAATGTATAATTCAATTCATTTTTCTTTGAGTATCGGTTGGGTCTGTAAGCTCTGGAAAGGTAAAATATTTGGTGGTCTGGAGAAAGAAAGAAGTGGGCTCACCAAAACTGTAGCTGCTTCTCATTTCTGCTTTAAAATAGCGATTCATGGCTACACTAGCCAGCTTTTAAAAACCTTCATCTCTGACCCTAATGTCTCAGGCCGAGTTGAATATAATTAAGATTTTTTTTCTTCATACATTTTAAACTCTTTGATTTTAAACTGTCTATCATGAGTTTTAATGTGACAATATTACAAGATTAAATCATTTGAGTGCTGTTTTTACGTAGCATTGGTTCAGTAATGTCTATTATAACCAATCTTTTGTATCTTCTCCAGGCCTGTGTGTTCCCAGTGCTCTAAAAAGGTAGGTGGCTTTTGAAAATGTTAACACTCACATTGTTGACACTTGTTGGTACTGACAGGTCCTTTTTATAAAATTTCTTTGAAATCCTTTTGTGTATCTTTTACCCTCAGATGCGGTTGCCATCCAAGCCCTACTCCACCTTGCCCATTTACTCTTTGGGCCCCAGTGCTGTGTCTAAAGAAGGTCCGAGTCGAGCGTCTTCGTCTGCGGAGAGTGAAAGGCACCCGTTTGGGTCGGCACACAGCCGGAACAGCCTGCGCAGAAGTGTTTATAAGTATGTTGCTGTCATCCTCCCATTTATTTTTATATACTAAAATGTTTTCAAATGTGATGCTTTGCGAGATTAGTTAATTATTTATGGCTGACTTATTTTACCATTAGCGCCAACAAGCATTGTTTGTTCATCCATTCCACACACATGCAGTCAATCCCACTTGCAGTATAAACAATATAGCCTCATAAACCAAGAAGAAAACTGCTAATCTTATTGAAGAAACAATTACATGTTTACATTATTTAGTTTTTTCATAGTTTACAACTTAATTGTTGTTGCTGAAATGTTTGGAAATACTTTTTTAAACACTTTATAAAACAAAATATACTAGCAATGGATTCCTTGGTGGATTATTCTTTCATCCTTTGTCCCTTTTCTTCTTACACATTTTTTTCGGATATTTTTCCAATGTCCCTCATGTTTCACAGTATAGTCTAAAAAGCTACATTTTCCTGACTTAATATCTTTTTACACACATGTCTTGTTTGATATTTGTGTTGAGGAAGGTGAAATAAACTCCTGGTGGGGATTGTGTCACCAACACATTTGTGAATATCTCTTTCCGTCCTCAGGATGTCTAGAAGCAGCAGCAGCGGCAGCAAAGATGGCCCCTCACAGGACGAGCCCGACCTCCCAAAGGAGCTAACGGAGGACTGGGTCACCATGGAGATCTGCGTAGACTGCAAGAAGTTCATCATCGAGATCATCTCCTCCAGCAAGCGCAGCCTCAACGTGGCCACCAAGCGGGCCCGTCTCAATCGCAAAACCCAATCCTTCTACATGTCGTCGTCCAGCTCGGTCAACTTCAGGCCGTCTGAGCGCACCATCAACGAGGTGTAGGAGGCGGGACTTCCCTGTGTGCACTTTGCTTTACGCCTCTGCCAAATCTTAGTCTCCAATACGAAGCCAGTCCATCCCATCCCAGAGTTATCCCTTACCCCATCTCAGGAAAAGTCGGCAAGTTTGATTTATCAGGCGTGCCAGGTAACAAAGGAAAGCCATGTTTCTAAAAGTTGGTGATAATTCAGGACACGTTGGGAGAAATGAGTTGATGATGTTGCTATGTGGATCAGGTAAGAATGTATATTTGACATAAGAGCGGGTTCAGATGATACAGAAAGCCAAGAGCTGCAGTGATAACGTGTAAATAGTAAAAAGGCCCGTCCCTAATCTTAGCTAGTGAATATGTTTTCCAGTTCCTGTTTACTTCTAGCACTCAGGAAGAACAACAGATTGTCCTTTTGACAGAAATGCACTGTAGATCCTCTACCACTCCTTTGCCCCCCCGGGCCCCCCCCCCCCTCTTTTCTTCCTGCAACAATTATGCCAAATGTTACATCATTCATTTTTTAGCCAGTTTAAATGTAATGCTCATTTTGTAGGGATGATGCAGTGAGGGGTAAGAATAGGCAAAGATTATTTTTCCGGGAGGGTTTTTAGCCATTAGTTTCAATGTATATTAAATTCTGTGCCTGGTGCCAAAATGTAATTTCTTTCTTTGAATGCCTTTGTAGTTGCGGACCTGTTGTACATATGTTATAAAGTCAATGGGGGTCATTTTTACGGTAATCTACGTTTGCTTTCCCGCCCTTTCCGCGATCCAAGAGCTGGGCAGCGGAAGCACAGAAATGTAAAGTTATGATTGTGTACATGCTGTATATCTTAATTGTTCTAAAGCTAATATAAAAAACTACAAGATGTATAATTTTAAAATGTTTTATGATTTCTGCCGCTCAAGTTTCTTAACATGAAATTATTCAGAATAAATGATTATGTTTATGTAATATTAAGATTGTATTTCTATTGTATAGTTTATAAACTCTGCAGTGTTAAAATACTCCTCTAAATTGCAAATCGCACTTTTATTTGTTAATGTTTATGTTGGGATTTTGTCTTAATTAATAATAATTATTTCTCCTCTTGGGGGGTCCATAGTGCCATTTCCCAGAGTTCCTCATGGATGAATGTGTGTGAATGGCTGCAGCTGGTTTGTGAGAAAAATGGCTCAACAAAACGAAACAATGTATTGAATGTAGGCAAGTGTATAACTGTCATTAAATACAGACACACACTCATGCAAAGATGTTTGTATAGTTTGTTTTGTGACAGTTGTTAGCAAATAAACACAAAGTCAACCAGCCTGTTCAATAACGATGCCATGTTCCAGTGAAACATCCGTTTTATTTTAGACCACTGTAAGGAATGTATGCATGCTGTTCTGTGATCTGTTCGTTTTTATCGAAGAAATTCTAATAAAAACATCACGATTCTTACTTTGACCTCATCATCCTCATTATTGTATCTATAGTTTGAAGCCTAATATTACATTTAGTTTCAGGACTGTGCACTGTCAGTCATTGTACACAGCAGAGGGCGATAGACTTAATGAAAGGAAGTCTTTTTAGTTGGGCGCCATGCCGTGAACAGCACCCTGTGGTCTCAGGGACATCAGGTGGTGGAAGGTGTGTATTGCAGGCGTCATTAGGTGATGCCATATTCACAGTTGAACGTGTTATGCTGATTTAGTTGTGCCAAAACTGTCTTTGCAATTGACCCGCTGCAATATTTATCATTTTAAAATTGTACAAAGAGCATTACATGTACACACATGGGCTTTCTGAAAACCTCTTCTTGCAGCCTGTCACTTTCTTTTTTATTTAAATTGATTTGTCATTTTTTTTAAACGGTCATCTGTATTTTAATTTATTGATATACACGAGTCCATAAACATGAACTAAAAGGTCTCATTTATTATAAAAAAGGAGAAATGGAATATTCCTGAATGATTTTTAGGTTTAGTTTTTTTATCCCTATTACAAACATTTCCCAAATTGGGATCAATAAAGTACTATCTTATTTCTATGTTAAGCTCAACAGTGGCACATCAAGTGTGAAACCTGCAAGTGTACAGCGGAAAGAATACTCAGATATTTTATTTAAGTAAAACTAGTTATAACCCTGTGTATTAATACTCTGTTTCATATGAAAGTCCTGCATTTAAATTCTTCCCTAAAGGTACAAAGCTTAACACAATTTTAATTAAAATATATTCATTGTTGGATTATTTTCGACATATTAAACTAAAAGTTGCAGCTTGTAAAAGTGGACTTATACTGCTGGAGTATATCTATATGTTGTAATAATATAGATCTGCAAAGTAACTAAAAAGTGGATTATTTGCTTCCGAGATGTAGTGCAGTGGAAGTACAAAATAGCATAAAATGATCTGTTAAGTACCCCAAAATTGTACCTAAGTGGAGTAGTACATAGTAGAGGTACAGTTACTTTCCATAAATGTAGGGTATGTTTATACTGGTGGATATATGTCAGCATGCATGCAGCTCCTATACATATTTCTTCCAACAACAATTGGCTTATGTACGTAAGCCATAAACTGTATATATATAAAGTTGTATACACACACGCTCTCTCTCTCTCTCTCTCTCTCTCTCTCTCTCTCTCTCAAGGCACACNCATGCTTATACTTAAACAAGCTGATTTATACAAATGCAGATCCCTGGGTTTCAGCTTTACATTTAAGTAATCCAGAACTCTTTCCCTTTCCCTCCGTCGGATCATCCCACTTCCTTTGACGTATGTCTCCACTGACGTGCCTTTTATCCAGAGGTCATTGTCCCAAACAATAAAGAAACAAGACACCTGTAGGAGCCAAAATGCTTGTTTTGCCATTACTTATTATTTGTATTATTATCTCCATTTCTGTTTGCATCGCGTTTGATCCTTATTGTTTATCACTTTCCGGCTATGGTCACGTGGGTGTGGTTTATTGTTATTTAGGTCACCTGTTGGATGCCGGTTTGGGACGATATGATGAAGGAAGAGGGTGAATGGCGCTCTTTCTGTTAACCGTCAAGTCGGGAGTTGTACATCGTTTGTTTATGTTTTATGAAACACTATGGACTATGAATGACTTTGGACTCTTAAATGGAACGCGTCACAGCAAAGAGCACATTTTAGCCTCTCAGCGGCATAACTCATAGAGAGTTGTGCTGCTACATTAGCTCCCGACATGACGTGTTATTACAAGTTAACCATCAATTCTCATGAATCTTGTCCTTATCTAAACAGGCGGCCGTCACGCCTCCTGTGTAAATATGAGTGTTTTTGTATTATGAAAACATGACCGTCAGTTCACACAGGCCACATGGTGATCAAGATAAGCCCCAACCATATGCTTATATTATAGATTTTGTTTACAATAATTTCACTTAAATAAAACTTCCTGAAAATACTTCAATGTTTTCTCCCACTACTGATGGTGTACCCATGAGACATTGCTTCTTTACCTGAGCTGCAGAACAAGTCCTGAGGAGTGCTGATGCTTTCACAGTACTGGCTCTAATTAAGTAGAGGTTGCTGCAGTCAAAGCAGTCTGGTTAATTAATCGATGGATGTCGTTTAACATTAGCAGGTCAATAACTGTCTCATCCTCTATTGACCATGTACCAGAGGGAAAGAAAGGAAAAGCCAATAGTCATCTAATGGCTGCTTTTCATGTCTGGCTACGGAAGTCCTCTAGCAAGTTACTGTATGGAAAGTTCTGTGTGAGCAATTCAAATTTCAAACTGGGTGAGTTAATGATCGCTCTCCTTGTTTTCAGCTGCATGTGCCAAGTCTAAATATTTACACCGTTAATCCACAGTCATAAATGTAAAAACACATGGGACAGGATGCTTGCTTTTAATTTTTCCTATATCAGAAATGCTGTTAAATGTTCTACTCATAATAAATTAAGATCTAAAGTTATTTAATGAAATCAATCGGAGATCAAAGACAGTTAAGCCTAAAGCGTCCTCTGTTGGCAGCTGCAGCTTTCTTTTTCTACACATCCAATTATCTGCACCCATGTTCACTGCTGGAACACATTCCTTCTTCCTAGGCCTAATCTTCTTTTCTGCTGATCTGACTGTTCTCTTCTTGTATGCAAATGCTTTGCTGCTTCCAATTTAATACCCAGGACTTCCCATCATTTAGAAAAAACATTTATTTGTTATGGTTTATTTCTAGAGTGGCAGAACATTCAGCAAACAAGAAGAAGCAGATAGACACTAACAGAGAGAAAAACAACAACAGTGAGAGAAACTGAAAGAAAGACTCATTGACTAGCCTCCTAATTTGTAAGCATGTGTGACACTGTGCATGGTTACTTATTAGCAGCTATCCAGTGACTCTCAGTGCTACAGGGAGTGCCAAGCAGCCCCTAGAGCCTGGTGGCCCCCTCCTGTAAGCTCCTTACATTCCTATAATGAGGTTAAACTTGATTCGATAACCATATATTGCATAAGATCTCTGCTTGGCTAACGCGTGAAACGTACTGCATGAGAGTGTACAGACTGTGCAGCAAAGCTAGTCTGACAGTCTATAGAATGAGTCATGTGGCTAAATCTCTAAACTTCAACTCAATCAGAAAACACAGAGTTGTACAACTAATTGTACAGGAATTTTGGTCTATTTGTAATGCTTGGGTTGGGCAGGGTAAATGTTTTCCCACAAGCTTTCCTACTGTTTGTATTTGGTGTCCAATTTGCTTGAAAACATGATTTTCTGAAATTAGACAAAAAACTAGTGTTAACTATCCAAATCTGTTCAAGTTGCCTATGACATCTTCCATGTTGCATTTCCTCAAAGGTATTCAACCATGAAGACATTTTCAATTAATGAGTTTAATTAAAAACAATGAATCTCATCACGTTTTGATTAACAGTGGATTAACAGTATAAACACAAGCCGTCTCCATAGGGAATCCCTCGCTAACCAGATTAAATTACTCTAGTTCCAATGCTCTATCTCTAGAGCAATAAATCCAAAGAAATGAGAAACAGGATGCCAGGTCACATCCATGAAGATCTTAAGTAGTGCAAGCAATGATGATTTGGCCAGATCAAAAAGGTCATTCAGGGACACCCACACAGTCTCAATGCTTCTGGACCATTTCCACTTTGTGGTCCAGTGTGTGGTTATTGTGCACTTTCTGGGCACAACTCTGGTCTTTTATTTTCTTGGCATTAGAAGGTTTGCTGTCCTTACAGATCCTTATTCAACCTTAAATCTGTACACGGTAAAACCACATCCCAAAACAGCAGAGGGTGGTAACCCCGAGCGATAAGAGAGTTTGGTACATCCTCATTTCCTCCTGGTACTTTCTGGATAGGCCCTCCAAGCACATCTCTATCACTTTCAATTTATTTTGTTATTTCTTGTGATGAGTTATAGAGTCAAATGTTCTGAGGATGACTCATGTACAAAATTAGCCGACCTTGGAAATCTTGACATAGTGACCAAAAGTTGGTATTGTTATTCATTATTTTTTTAAATAGTTGTTGTGACTCACCAGGTTTATTAATAACTCAAACGGATTTGTTTCTTACCTCCTTTGCACTTTTGATTTTATCCAGGAAGGTGTGTAGTTCTCTGGCTTCGGCATAGAGAGCACGACACACCGCCTGGTAATGGAGGGGGGCGTCTGATGGGCTGGGCAGGTGGGAAGAACATAGCTGTAGGAGATGAGAGAAGGAATTTAATATACATGTAGTGGTGCGTTAGAGCCACCCTAGCCCTTGAGTGTATTAATAAAATGGTCTTGACCTTTACTTAAAACCAAATCCATATCTAAACCTGGCTACCATAACATTAATTTAGACAAGTATCCGGAAAAACTGGTGAAGGCATAGAGCTCTTAGTTAAATCATGGTGAGTGTTTTTGTGACCAATACAATTAAACACAATAACCTGCAAATGTATTCCAACACATGAATTAAGCACAAATTCAAATCTCTCAATGTTAACGAATGAGAAACCTCCCTGTGAATTTAATGCAGGCCAACACGTAATGGTTTTTTCCTTGGCCACACCTTTCAACACAGTTTCAAGAAAATCATGCCAGTAGCTTTTCTGTAAACCTGCCAACGGTCCTACAAACAAAACAAAAAAAGCAACAGGGCTCAGGGGTGATGGGAATGTTATTGTTGTTAGATTAGAGAACATTTGGTCAAAGTATTGGGCAAATCAAAAATGTGGGCCAATGATTGCACTAAACAGAAAGTGGAAACATATCAATTGTATGAGTTTCGATACCAAAAACAAACATCTCTTGCTCATGGTGGCACTCCAGAGGCATCATGGGATCTTTATCGTCAGTAAGCACTCCCTGGGCATCATGTACACAAAATGTCATTAGTGTGAACCTGATTGTCCAGTCGGAGCAAATTTGTCTGACTAGCATTAGCTATGCACCATTTAAAACTCTGACCCTTATGGTATTTGACTGTGACGATAATAAAGCCTCCTGCCTGACAACATAATAGATGAGCTCATATTAACCCAAGTGACACAAAAGCAGGAATCCAGACGAGTGACATATTCTTGTTTTCTCCTGATGGGCTTGGCTCGCCACAGGAATGTCTGACTCAGCAGAAAGTGTCTTCTTCCTCGTTCACCCGAAGCTAAATTCCCAGCTAATTCTACACTTACAGTAGGTGAGCAGTGAGAGTCTTCAGGATCATGTCTCAAATACTGCAATGTCTGTGGTTTCCACTGTTTACCCTAATAACAATGATCTGTATACGCACAACACCTTATGGTTGCAAAAGAAAAGAAGGAAACTGAAGGTTAACAGTATGTGCTGAATGTCAGTTTGGAAATGTGGTGTCAGTGAATTTGTGTGAAATCATTTTAGTATTTGATGAGCCATACTTAGGTGGAACACAATCCTAACTCAAGAGATTGACAGCTTTGGTAAGAGGAGTTCACTCCATTTCCCTTAATCAGAAAGGAGACCCAGTCTGTACATTCACCATCTAACTCTTCCTGTCTTAGTGGGATGCTTCACTAGTGCTGTCATCTTTTATCAGCTTCACCTCTTGCCTCACCCTAGTTTGACCTGACCTTCCTCTGCCTGGCAGAACAGCAGAGTCAAAAGAGGTTTCTCAATACTCTAATTTCCCCTCCTCGACTCCTCAGGTAGTGACCCGGAAATGGATTTCTGCGCGCCATGTTGAAGGACATCTAATTTCTCTAAATGCACTTCGGGGACCGAGCATCGAGGAGGCTCTCTGGAGGAGCTATGATCAAGGATACTTGATGGTTCCTCCACGGCTCTTCCGCTGATGCATTTTCTGGAACGGTGGAGGCGTTACGCACGGCCGGACTTATCTCAGCCAATGACAGCTCTGCATGCATCCCCTGGATATTATTTTAGAAACTGCTTTCATTGCGACGCGATGTTTACAGTGAGAACAGCTGTGAGGTCCGTGCAGAAAGCAGAGCAGTGTGTAAAATATATATCACTCAGTATAACAGGCCTACATTAATCTCTGTATTTGCTGTAGTTTAGTAGATATCTACAAACAAAGAGTCGATCTTTTTCTAAGACCATTTAGTGCTTCACATAACAAAACACACAACAGCTGTAGCCTGATTATGCTTTAGGAGCTGTAGGTGTGTGTGGTACAGTGTGTAGTACAGTGTGTAAGTGCAGCAGACAGACAGGTCTCAGTTGGTTTGGTGTCCTCTGCTTACTTTTAATACAACTTTTGGCCCGTAATTTCAATTCCCCATTTCAGCGACCAGAGAGCGAGGGGGGGGGATATATCCAGTCTCTGATTGTGTTACGTTATTATGAGAGTGCTCTCATACTCGTTTGATTCTGAAATTGTATATATTTATATAAATATATGTGTGTATATGTCCGCATCTGTAGCCTGTTATTGTCTCATTATACCGCACTGTGAATGAATTAAAAGTAAATATATAAGTCATCATGAACACATCTGTCCATCAGACAGAGGGCTGCTGTGCCTCCTGCCATCATTAATGGACTTCTCTTTAAAATGACCGCTCAGAGGAGAGGAGTTCTCATTTCTCTAACTGCCTGCTGCTCCCCCTCCTCTCTCCTCGGCTCCCCTCCTCAGTCCTCCGCTTGCATCTCCTGTGGGCGGCACTAAGTCTCGAGGATAGGAGTCGAGGATAGGAGTCGAGGAGGGGAAATTAGAGTATTGAGAAACCTCTAAGTTAAGGAAGGAGGTCAGACAGGAATTTGCAGCCATTTACTCCAGCCATGTCAACATATTACCGTTATATCAAGCGAGGGATTGTTGGGAGAATTAGAAGCATGCACCGGTCCGGCAGCAAACAGTCCCAATTCATTATACACCGAGTTTATTATATGGAAGGAACACGCTGATCTAAGGCTATTCCCCAAATACCAGCGTGTTTACAAAGCTATAATTGCTTTCATATTCAGAGAGTGCTTTGGGAATTTACAGCGTGACGGCCCCCCATCAGGGGAATTTGTTTGGACCTGGTCTGATGACAACGGGCACAGCTTTGTTTTAGACATGATGAAGAAAAATCTGCATATTTATTTCGCCTTTAATGTCTTTGATGAGTCATGGTTCTTCATCAGCCTTGAACCATGACTAATCAAAATGTTGCAGTAAAGGATCAGGAGCAGTTATTATGGGAGTGTTACTGTGTGGGGATTATGCTTACGATTGGACCTAATGGATCTCACTGAAATGTTGCAATATGCACTTATGACCTGTGCATATTTGTATCAATAGTTTATTTTTAATTATTTTTAAAGGTGATGCGTGGAATCTTTTTATCTCTTCTTTGAGCCACTTTCATATGTTTTCAGCCATCGCTCCATAAAAAAAAAAGTATTTCTCAACAACTTTACAATCAAACAGTAATTGATGAGTTCAGTGGTCTTCATGTATACTTTTGTAAAATGGCTTTTGGTTATTTTTTGTTCTCCACATGTGGGTCAGTCCAGGACAGAACCTGTTTCAGTTAAAATAATGTGAACAGCCAAACAAAAAAAATCTAAGTTGAGAAATAAATCCAAATTGAACACTAAAGCAGCATTGTTAACGTAGCCTAAGAGACACAGTGCGCCCCACACAACATACCATGATGAGGTCTTGGTAGCTGCGAATGCTGGTGACTACGCCGGGCGTGGCAGAGACGGGCTTCTCTTCCTCCTCTTCTTCTTCCTCACACTCCTCCTCTGTAGCTTCGTAGCCCTCGTCAGGACAGGGGTCACTCTCCGCCTCTTCCGTGTTGGTCATCATGTCGATGAGGCGCTCCAGCGGCGGGCTGAGTTCACGCTCCTCGTTTTCCTTAAGTCCATAGTCCAGAGCTTTGTAAATCATGACGCCTAGTGATTCAATAACCTGTGGGACAATGGACAAATGGGTTGTGTGGATTATTACTGTGTAGTAGAAAAGGAAATCTATTTTAAAGATTGGTCCGAGGGTTCCTTTCAATTGAAAAAAATACATTACATACAATACCAGATATTTTACTTCTACCAAGATATGCAAGAAAAACTGAAGAAATACAAACGACAGAAGATGGGTAGCATGGGGAAATTTTTTATTAAGCAAGGGTAATAAAATATTTTGTATTTCTTTACTTGCCGTCATGTGTGCCAATACTTGATTATTTCCAGCTGACACACTACACTTTATCTCTCACAGATCAAATTAATTAACAATTTGCGTAGGCATTTCATTGATACTATGACTAAATATCCATGAGTTATTAAATGCTTTTTAAAATCACCAACCTCCAGAGCTTTCTTCGATCCCTCTACACTCCCTTTATATTGCCCCTGCTGCTCTATAATTAAAACACGCACATCAGCACATCCTAAAAACCTAATTACTTTGTTAGATAACCATCTCCAACAAGCTGAATTCACCTGAACAGACAAGACAGTTGCTGTCCTCAAGCCAGATGCAAAATGAGGCCACAGTGTTCCTCCAAACAGCGTGATGATTACTATAATCTGGGGATGATTTCATTTCATCCCTGCTTCCCCTCATTAACAAGCAGTGTATGATCTTTCTGAGATTTTTTGTTTTTGCAGTTTGTTCCAAAACATCTACAAAGAGACAAAGTTGTTCTTCAGTGCAGCATGACAAGTTGGCTCTGCTGTGCAGTGTCCTCTCCTGAAAACTCAATCAAACCATTGCTCTCAGTTTAAGTGTTTGCAATTTAGCATGAGGAAAAAAAGCATTTTACAAACAGAGAGGAGTGTCTGGAGCCATCGGTTTTTAGTCAATTAGTTCATGTATGAGGCAGGAGCCTCCACTAGCCCAGATGGCAGATTATATATTTGTACAAGTATTAAACTGAGCAAACACCAATGAAGGCTACTCAACTTCATTTATTTTGGATTTATTCAAGTTCAACAATATCTTTTTTTTTTTCTCAAAGCGTGAATACTTGTGGACAATACCAGGGTTGAATAAATGTTTATTAAAGTTTAGCATTTTCTATTATGTTAAAATCAGTATTACTTCCGATAGCATGGCTTCCCTAGAGCAAGTGGTAGCCTACTGCTCTGCATGAATGACGTGTGAATGACTCTTAGTATGTAAAGCGCTTTGAGGGGTCGAAAAGACATTATAAAAGTGCTATATAAGTACAATCCGTTATTATTTATAAGATACTAAAAGAAAACAACAACAACTACTATATATTAATCTTATATATGTCTACCATCAGCTGCCCTGATCTCTAGCCATCAGCCATAGAAAAAACCCTCATCAGTCAACTTATGGCGCATTTCCACTGCAGCGGGTAGCCCCGTTTAAGCGTCCTTAATCGTCCAGGCCAGTTTTTGGTGGCCTTTCCATATAGCGTAGCACCGGCTAGCGGGTACTTTTTCCGGCCCCATAAAATCGTGGTTCTATCAGGCCAGGGCCAGGGCTGAACTATTGACATCAACACTCTCGACTGCTGATTGCTCAGAGAGAATCATCCCTAGCGTCGCATATATATCTAGAAGCAAGCTTGCAGCATTTTTATACACAGCATTTTTGTAAACGGAGGAACTACAAAAATGGCAACGTCAAAGAAAAGCACACCGTGGTCGACCGAGGAGGTGACGACGTTCCTACATCTCATTGGGGATGATAAAATCCAGCGGGAGCTCGACGGAACAACTCGAAATGTGAAAGTGTTCCAGGATGTCTCTGCACAGATGCCCCGCCTACACTGCGTTGCTACCCCAGGTCCTAAACTGTAATGGAAATGCGCCACGGCCTCAGACGGCCAACGAGGCAGCCCGAGGCCTGAGCGAGGACGCTTAGGGACGCTTAAACGGTGCTACCCCGCGCAGTGAAATGTGGCACATAAGCAGTCTGGGCCTAAAATTAAGGAAATACGCTTTTTGTTTTCAACACTTTGTTCTAAAGAATTCTTTGGGATTTCCAACACAACTGACAATCAAAATGTATTCAGCTTTAAACTAACTTCCAGGCCTTTCAGGACTTCTCCACAACTGACACTCTGTAATCGCCCAATATTAGTCATGGCATATTCATTATCTGGGCCTATGGCTGTGATTTTTTCTTTGCACCTCTGCAGTGCACCTCCTATAGCTGTAAGAAAAAGATTCATAACAGAGCTTGGCAACGCTTTTATCCTTCATTCCCAGTGATCGAGTGCTCGCATGTTTTTGTTGTGTCAATGTTCCCTGGGCTACATGGTTTGCAGGCAGGACTAAAT